AAAAAAAAAAAAAAAAAAAAAAATTTAAAAAAGGGAGGGGCAGTGCACCAGCAAGCCCCAACCTTTGGCACTGGGCCCCTTCCACCTGTCAGACACACCCACAGCCCCCCAGCTCTGGTGACTGAAGCCCTCTTGGCCTCTGTCCCACCCCTCTGGCTATGGATTCCTCTCCTCTGTCCCTTTATAGGTGAAGGTCCCTCAGATCCCACACCTTGGTCCTGCTCCTCTCTCTACACCCACTCCCTGCTCCACCTCATCCACCATCCATCATCCTCCCTTACCTGGCTCCAGCTCTCAGGTCAGCTCCAGAACGACATGCCCAGAAGTCCCCTGGACATCACCCCGCGAAGCCCCACAGGCACCTCAGGCTCCAGGTGTCCACAGAGGCCTGATTTCCTACTTCCTATGCGCATCCTCAGGAAAGTTGCCAAAACTCTCTGTGCCTCAGGCGAGTTGTCTATAAAACTGGTACCGGAGGATCCACCTCAAATAGTTATTGTGAGGACTAAATGAGCACAGCACCTGGCTAATGGGTATATACATGCTCAATAAATGTGAGCTATTTTCAGCATCTCTTTTTCTCCAAGAAAACCTGCTCCCAGGCCACTGCACTAATGCCAGCTGTCCCTGCCTGCCAGCCACCAGCCTGGCACCTCTAAGGCATTCTCCACAAGGCGCCCAAAGTGACAGGACTGTGACCACTTCCCAATGGCTCCCCATTGCCCTCAGGACAGAGCTGGCCCTCTGCCTGCCCACAGAACCTTTCTGTAGTCTAGCCAGACAGAGAGAGGAGCCACAAATGTTTGAGAATGAGATGGGGGTGGGGCAGGAAGAAGAAAGAGGGAGGGAGGGAGGGACAGAGGAAGGAAGGAGGGAGAAATAAAGAGAGAAAAAGAAAGAAAGAAAAGAAAGAAGAGAGAGAAAAAAGAAAAAGGAGAAAGAAGAAAGAAAAAAGAAAGATGAAAGACAGGAAAGAAAAGAAAGGCAAAGAAAGAAAGAAAGAAAGAAAGAAAGAAAGAAAGAAAGAGAGAGAGAGAGAGAGAAAGAAAGAAAGAAAGAAAGAGAGAAAGAAAGAAGGAAAGAAGGAAGGAAGGAAGGAAGGAAGGAAGGAAGGAAGGAAGGAAGGGAAGGAAGGAAGGAAGGGAAGGAAGGAAGGAAGGAGAGGGAAAGAAAGAAAGAAGAGAGAAGGAAAGAAAGAAAAAGAAAATTCTGTAATTCTGTTCCATTTTGAGCTTCAAGAGAGATCTGGTGGCTGACTCTGTCTCCTGTCACTTGCTGCAGGTTTAGAGCAAGTGACTTCACTCTCGGTCCCTTCATCTGGTGGAAGGGGTAACCACTGCTCTCCTCCCACAGTGGGCTGTGAGGTAGATGAGATCATAGAAATTGAGCACAGCAGGTCCTCATGGGTGCCAGTTCCTCTTCCTCCCTCTCCCAGAACCTGTCAAGGGGCAGTGAATTTGGAGTGATGTTAAATAATGAACCATGGTATTGGGGTGAAGAGGAGGTTTCACCTTAGTGAAGTGGGAAGCAGGGCTTCCAGATTCCTGGACTATCTGGGTCTGTGCTGACAGGGAAGTCAGGAGAGAAGGGAAAAGAAGGGATTTGGGAAGTTCGAATGGGGGTGGAGGGTGCTTGTTTCTTTCCAGTTGTTTCTCAGGAGCTCTGCCCAGCTGCATGTCTCAGGTTTGGGGTGTGAGCACCTTAGGGCAGCCTCAGTTTTCCCAAGATGCTCCCCTCTGGGAAGTCCAAGAAAAAGCAGCCCAAGAAGAAGCTCTCAGTGCTGCCCACCAGCCAATCCACTCAGGTCCAGGAAGCAGCCCTGACTTTCCCCAGGGATCCCTGTGTGACCAGCACACCTGCTGCCCTGCAGGTGGAACCCTCCCCTGAACCCAAAACCCCTTCCCTGGCAATGCTGGCTAGTGGGGGGAAGGGGTGCCTGGCACCCGAGCCCAGCAGCCCTGGTTCAACTTCCAGCCTCACCTTGTTGCTGTGTGCTGTTGTCTTTCCTTAGTTTCTTCCCTAAGTTCTTGCAAAAATTCTGTCTCTCAGCTGGTGCCCTGAACAGGAGAAACAAATCTCATTTCAGCTCCTTTTTAACAGCATATGTTATTGACCTCATTTCTCCTAGTAGAAAAGTAATGTGTGTTCATTATAGAAAACCTTAAAAATATAGATAATATAAGAAAAGAAATATAAAGAAAGAAATAAGGGTCATGATCCTGTCATGTGGACAGGGCCACCATCAACGTGTTTGGAATATTTTCTTCTAAGAGCTTTCTTGGTGTCGGTATATAATCCTGGAATTGTACCAGTAGATATCGTTTCATATCCAGATTCTTCCACTCACTATTATATGAAGAGTGGGGAAAAGAGTTTAGGGGAGTGGGAAGAGCAGTCTCTGGGTTTATACAGACTGCATAAACTCCAACTCCATGCTTCACCACGTATGTGACCCTGAGCATCAGCTTCCTTGTCTGCAGAATGGGGGTGGCAACTGCGCCACTCACAGCGGAGAAAGGTTATAGCTCCGCCCCTGACGTCAAGCTCCACCCCCAGAGGGGAGGAGACACCTGGGAGCCCTGGGCTGGGGAGACCTCGTGTGGGAGCCACCTTTGCAGCTCCCGCTGTTCCCATCCAGGACTACACCTGTCAGAAACTAGGCTGTAGAGAACTTAGCAAGGAGGAACCAAGACACCCAGCTGCCCTCCAGCCCAACCACTCACTGTGCGTTGTCCTCCAGCAAGTCACTGGTCCTCCCGGAACTTCAGCTGTGGAATGAGAGGATTCTGCTCCAGCAGCATTTCCTAAGCAGTGTTACTAGGTCTAAGAAAGGAAGATTCTGAGGTCGAATGCTGGACAAGCACAGTTAAATGTGTTTCTTAGCTGCAGGACTTTTCAGAGCCTTTGATGTACTGACACATGGTAAAAAAAAAAAAAAAAAAAAAAAAAAAAAAAAAAAAAACGCAGAGGAGAATGCAGTGTGGGGAGGTGCCAGACTCATCATAGATGCCTTTTTTCCCCCCAAGATACCTAAAGGGAATTGATTGTGGTTGGGGTGGGGGAGGGCTGATCCCAGAGTTCTCTGCAGCCCTCGTTCCTTGCTACTCTCCTCCCCATTTTCCATGCCCAGCCCAACTCCACAGAAAGCACTCTTCTTTCTTATCTCCCTCCTTGGAAAGCTATTCAGTTCCCTTCTCCCAGCCTTCCCCTCTTCCCCTGGTTAAATCCTAGACAAGACTCAGCTGTAGCAGCCCCTCCTCCAGGAAGCCCTCCCTGACTTCCCAACTGGTCAGGACTGCCTCTACTCCCACAGTCCCAGTAGGACCTCTACCAAACCTCACAACACACTGCCCAGTACCAGGCTATCCCCAAGGCAGGCTGCCACCACCTTGGGAGCTGGCCAGGACAGGGCCAGCTCTGCTTCCTCTCTGTATCCCCATGCCCAACACGACAATGACACTCACATTCTGAAGCTGTCACTGATGGATGAAGGTAGCTGTGACTGGCGAGGAGAGGAGTGGTCAGGTGGGGAATCTGAGCCTCCATGGCCCCAGGTAGACCCATAGACCCATGAGGACCGTCCCTGCATGCTGGTCTGAGGCCCAGGCCGGTGGTCTGTTCCCTGCAGTGTTGGACGGGCACACATACAGCCGCTCAAGCCACAGGATGCGCTATGCCTGCAGCTCCTCGGAGGACTGGCCCCCACCCTTGGACATCAGCTCTGATGGGGACGTGGATGCCACGGTACTCAGGGAGCTGTACCCAGATTCTCCACCAGGGTAAGGAGGCTATGTGGGGAAGGGGGCATTAGAGGATGGGGCCCTGGACACAAAGACCCCCCAACTCCATCACGGGAAAGAGTGGCACCTCTCCACATAGTATAAATGCAGAAAACACCTGCTCAGTGGGCATGGCCACCTCCTCCCCACTCCTGACCAAGTAGGTCCCATTGAGGCAGTGTGACTTAGCAGATGTCACCTGGAAGTGCTAGGAAAGGAAGAGACAAGCCCAGCTCCTCAGGCTGCTGACTAGGTGTGCCAGGAATGCCCTTGCAGTTTCAGGGGAGGTTCCATGGCAGCTGTCCTGAGCTCCCTGGGGATCTGCTCCTCCGGCTGTCTCCCTGGAGGTGGGAGGGAAGGCCAGAGAGTATTTGGTTATTTCAGTGACCATGGGATCAACTTCCCCTAGGGAAAAAAAAGTTCATTGTGTTTCAATAAATAACACCAGGGACTAGGGCAGCAAAGAGGGGACGAGCCCATATGCCGACATCTGATGGCCCCAGGTACACTCGCTCTGGAAACTCTTTCTTGTATGATCATGAGCAAGTTACTTAATCCTGCGGTGCCTGCTTCTCCATTGTTGAAATGTCCATGTAATAATACCTGCCCCGGCTGGACACGGGGGCTCATGCCTGTAATCCCAGCACTTTGGGAGGCTGAGGTGGGCAGATCACGAGGTCAGGAGATTGAGACCATCCTGGCTAACACGGTGAAACCCCATCTCTACTAAAAATACAAAAAATTAGCCGGGCATGGTGGTGGGCACCTGTAGTCCCAGCTACTCGGGAGGCTGAGGCAGGAGAATCGCTTGAACCCAGGAGGTGGAGGTTGCAGTGAGCTGAGATCGCACCACTGCACGCCAGCCTTGGCGACAGAGCGAGACTTCATCTAAAAAAAAATAAAATAAAATAATAATAATAATACCTGCCCCGCAGGATACTCATGAAAATGACACAGAAGTGCCGGTAAAATGCTCAGCAAGGCACTGGCTCTTCCCACCAGTGGTGTCACTACTATTTCGAGGCCACAGGTGATAAACTATCCATGCTGAGGAGGACGAGGGGAGGGGATCAGGGAGGATGGGCTGACACGGGAAATCGGCCTTTGTCAAGCATGTGTGGTGCTTGGGTTGGGAGGAACTGGGACCTTCAGAGATACAGAGGAGGGTGTGACCAGCAGAGGGCACAGATGAGCAAAGGCCCAGAGGCAGGTGAGCTCGCGTGTGCCGCACTACAGTGGGCACAGTGGGGTTTGACCTCTTCTCCCCTTCCCCTGCCCTGGCTTTCCAGTCAGACCCACCTGGGTTTGAGCCCATCCTGGACGCTGCCCAGGTTGATGCTCTCAGGCATGTCACTGTGGCTCTCAAGGGCTCCATTTCTTCATTTATGAAATAGGGACAAATAACCCTGCTTCCTGGGTTTTCCTGGAGAGGAAGATACTGTGGGTATCTGGGGATGTGGCTCAGGGTTAGACCTGAGCCCTCGGCTCCTGAGGCCATAGCCTGAGGACACAGACACCTCCCCCCACCCCTAGGAGTCAGTGGCTCTAGCCTGTGTGGGGAAGGGCCAGCTGGGTCCCAGAGACCAGGAGCTGGACTCCAAGGAGACTGCCTCTGCCCAGTGAGGCTCATCAAAAGGACAGGAACCGGTGGGGCTGCTTCTGATGGAGGTGGAGGCACACAGATGCCCTGGGGGTACCTGGGAGCAGACTTCTCCCTGAGTCAGAGCAGAGCGTTGGGTTGGCCTCAGGCACGAGGGGGTGCCCCAGCTGCAGGCCTCCACTGTGGTCAGGCACCTCCCCCCAGGCTGGTTGGGTTCAGGGCCTGGACAGGGCTGGGCAGGCATGAGACAGGGGTAGGGAGGGGTGGGGAAGGTGGAGGCAAGACTAGGAAGACAGAGGTGATTCCCCCTCCAAACACACACACACACACACACACACACCTGCTGAGACCTTCCAGGCAACAAGGTCTGGCTGAGCCCGGGGCCTCTGTGGTCTCATCTGCAGCCACCAAGGCAGAGACTGGCCTTAGAGATCAAGACGGGTTCCTCTCAGAGAAGTGGGGGGGTCATGGAGCTAGAAGGAGAGAGTTATGCCCTCAGCTCCTGGGGGCCCCAGAGACAGTGGCAGTGGGAAGAGAAAGGGACAGGTGGAGCTTGTGGCCAGGAGGGCCCTGTGCCTGTGATCATGCCCACAGGAGTGGCTGTGTCCAAACGGCCCTCGGGGCCCTCGAGCAGCCCCCTCCCCATGGGGAGCTCTTCTCTGGAGGGCCTTTGGTCCCCTCCTGCCAGCCCCCCTCAGGCAGATCATCCATCAGTACTCGAAGAGGGAAAGGGGTCAGGGCCTCCACCATTCCGTGCTAGGAGACCCCTCCAGTCCTGGATGAATGGCCCATGTCCTCCCCCTTGCCCTTCCACCTTCACCCCTGCCCCAGGGGCTTGAGCAGGGGTGGTGCGGCCAGTCCTTTCCAGGGCAGTGGGTGCTTTTTTGCTCTGCATCTGTAGGTTCAGAGGGGCCCAGGTCACTCTTTCCTAAACTGAGAATGGGAACTTTGGAGTGGCTGGAGACCAAGGTGTCTTGTAGCCTGAGGTTGGTCCTACCCAGCCCCCGCACACCCAGTGCGCTGCAGGGAGATGCTCCCTAGACAGTGGTCCCTGCTGCTGCGAGGCTTGCGAGGCACCGGAGACCCAGGGCAGCTCAGTGTTCATGCGTTGAGCTCACACCGCACATGAGGGCTGAGTCAGCTCCCGAATCCAGGTCCCAGGGGTTCTGAGGTCCCCCTCTGGAGGTGGAGGGAAGTAGTAGGGTTTCACTGGAGCCAGCGTGGACAAGGCCCACCCTGGTCCACAGCCAGGACAGCTTGTCACTGCAGATAGACACCTAGGCCTTTGGGAGAGACCCAGCCCTAAGGCCTAGGTGGGGCACTGAGGGAGCCTCTTCTCTTGTAGCTACGAGGAGTGTGTGGGGCCAGGGGCCACACAGCTGTATGTCCCCACGGACGCACCGCCACCCTACTCTCTGACTGATTCCTGCCCCACGCTGGACGGCACCTCCAACTCAGGCAGCAGCCACAGCCCCGGCCGACACCAGCAGGAGCAGAGAACCCCGGCCCAAAGTGGCCTCCACACGGTCTCCATGGACACCCTTCCCCCCTATGAGGCTGTGTGTGGAGCCGGCCCCCCATCGGGCCTGCTGCCACTGCCAGGCCCAGGCCCAGGGTCAAGGGGCTCCCAGGGCTCACCCACCCCAACCCGGGCCCTAGCCTCCGGCCCAGAGAGGATTGTGTGAGGGACCCAGCCGGCCGGGTCCTGCTGGTCCCTATGGGCTGAACCACATTCTTTAGGCACACAAAGGCATGCACACACACACACACACACACACACACAGAGATGCACTCGTGACTCATACACACACAGACCAAACTTGTATACACACAGACATCTACACTGACATACCCCGTGTACACACACAGATCTAGACATGCTCCACGTGTGTGTGCACATGCGCACACACAGGCCCACCACAAACACAAAACCCACCGGCAAAGGTTTCACAGAATGTGGAGCTCTCCTGGCCTCCCGTCCCTCCTCCTGGCCTGTTGGTTGTGCCTCTGTAGACAGTGCTGCGGGGAAAGAGGCGAAGTAGGAAGTTGGACTTTCTCTTCCCTCTCCCAGGCCCGTTTGCCCCTATCCTTGCCGGCAAGCTGTGCCCAAATTCTGATTCTGCCTCTGGAAACTGCTGGACCATCCAAGGTCAGCCGCCTGCCCTGACCCCTACCCCAGGGCCAGCTTGTCCTCCTGGGAGGCGGGACAGGCCCCAGTGAGGTTCCATTGTGCGCTGTGCCTATCTCTCAATTCCAGGGCAGATGAGCCACAACATCACCACCCTGCCACTTACAAAGTGGGGGACCTGGGTCTGGGGGCTCAGGTGCAACCTGGAGGCCCTCACAGCCCACCAGGCCCCCTCCCAACCCCAGTACCCTCAGTCAGGTGGTGCTAGTAGAGCCATCTCCTAAGCTGCAGGCCCCAGGTGGATGGGCAGGGCCCTTCATGGGTGTGCAGTGGCGGTTCCCTCGTCAGTCCAGCCACTGCCCAGGACTAAGGGTCTTCAAGGAAGACGAGGTCATTGTCCTTCTCCAGGTGGCTTCACCGCAGTGCTGCCTGGGCACCTCTCTGAGGCAGAGAAGTGGCCCCTCGCTCAGTCCCTGCCCGGCCGACCACTGTGGCCTGCACCCAAATGGGTCAGAGCCAGATCCCGGAGCTGGTGCTGTCCTCCTAGGTGGCCGCTCATAGCTGGGGATGGTGAGTGAATGTGTTCTGGCCTTGCCCACGTGGGTGTTTGCAGAGACAAAATGAAGGGGATATACTCCCCATAAATACCACCTTGCCACCACAAGAGGACCAGAAGGCTACTCGGCCTTGCTGCCACAGAAGGGGATTTGTAGGGTCAGCCTGGCTGCAGAAAGGCTGGCTCAGATCTTGACCGAGAAACCCCAGTGATTTCCATCAAAGACCACGCAGGTAATGGAAGTGATTCCTGAAGACCCAACCCACCGAGGGTGGCAGCCAAGCGTCTTTGAGGAGTGTCCCCGCCAGCATCGCCAGCAGCCATCACTCTGCCTCCCTCCCACCTCTTGTCCCCCATCGTTAAACAACAGCACCCTACCCAGCCTCCCCACATTTCTGTTCCTGTAATGAAGGGCTAAGACGATTTAGTAATCTCTTTCTTAAGCAGAGGAGTGGCAAGGATGGCAATCTGTTCTGGTGTGGAGCCGAAAGGAACCCACCCAGAGGTTCTGTAGCGTCCTGCGTGCCGCCTCCTGGAGCCCCAGACTCCACCTGGGGGAGGGACTTGTTTACAAGCAGTTCTGACCACCTTAGTGGTGTACTGTTTTCTAGGCAAAAAATATCTGTCTGTTGTACTGTATAGCCTTTAAAACGCTCCAGGAACGAGACTCTTTCTTAAGAAACACATCCTGCTTCTGCAACTCCAGAGAGTGCTGGGGGGAAAAAAGGGATAAAAATTCCTACCCACTCATCAGTGTTTGAATGATGGAGCTGAATCCTTGTTCCTGGACTAGGCAATGAATAAGCAACAATGTATCTTTTCTGTGTTCAAAATAAATATATCATCAATAAAATGTAGCAAGAAGTAACACTTTGAGAGAGTGCATAGGGTTCTTTTTTTCTTTCTTTCTTTTTTTTTCTTCAGACAGGGTCTCTCTCAGTCGCCTAGGCTGGAGTGCAATGGTATGAACATAGCTCACTGTAGCCTTGAACTCCTGCCCTCAAGTGATCCTCCCACCTCAGCCTCCCAAGCAGCTGGGACTACAGGCGTGCCCCACCACACCCAGCTAATTTTTGATTTTTAACTTTTATAAAGACAGGGTCTCACTATGTTGCCCAGGCTAGTCTCAAACTCTTGGTCTCAAGTGATCCTCTCACCTCAGCCTCCCGAGTAGGGTTTATACCTTCTGAAACTTGTAAGGAAAGGAAACACTAAATAGCAACAAAATAAAAATGCACCTCCAGCTAGCAATCCCTACCCATTCATTACCTCTCAACATGAAGCACCACTGAAGCCTTGTCAGTTTCCTGTCGATGTGAATATTTGGATAGTCAGTGCCTTACAGGAGTTGCTTTTTTTTTTTTATCCCCACTGAAACTTGACATCATTTCTCTGGGATATGGCTAATGTAACGTCACGAGGATGGGCCATCAACTTCAGGACCTGACTCTAGGAACTTCACAGACTACACGTTTTACTCTAACAGTGGTTGGTTTGTAGCACCCCGATGGTCTGTACTACCAGGAAAGAGGAAAACGGCAATGAGACTGAAATGATGTTGTCTCGCCCTCTGCAGGAACTCCCCTCTTCCTTTCCATGCCCTCCACAAGACCACGGCTTGAGCTATTAATCTCTTGGAGGACAGAGCCTGGGCCCCTTCCTCTGTCACATTTCCCTCCCAGCAGAACTCCAATAGAGCCCACTAACATAGTCCTAGGCCCCTTCAAGTGCCTTGAAAGTGGGGTGCAATCCTGAAGGAGGGTGCAGCGGGGGAAAAGACCGTGAAATAGGCTCATCCTTCTGGTTCTCCAGCCCATGTCCCTGCTGGACAAGCCAAGGCTGGCTCTGACATAGTCACCACCCCGACTCTGAGCCCACACTGCCACCTGCCGGCTCCCTGCTGCCACTGTTCAAAGTGAACAAGTCGGGTTCTGAAGAATGAGGAAGCCCCCTTCTATTACCTTGAAACACACTACCCACCGACACTCATAACTGCAGACAAAACCTGTCATTTTAATCCTGGGCTTTGCTTCCACCCTTGAGATGTTCCATAAGGTTTAACCCATTAACATCACCACCCTGCCATTTACAAAGTGGGGGACCCAGTTCTGGGGGCTCAGGTGTAACCTGGAGGGCCTCACAGCCCACCAGGCCCCCTCCCAACCCCAGTACCCTCAGTCAGGTGGTGCTAGTAGAGCCATCTCCGAAGCTGCAGGCCCCAGGTAGATGGGCAGGGCCCTTCATGGGTGTGCAGTAGCGGTTCCCTCGTCAGTCCAGCCACTGCCCAGGACTGAGGGTCTTCAAGGAAGATGAGGCCATTGTCCTTCTCCAGGTGGCTTCACCGCAGTGCTGCCTGGGCACCTCTCTGAGGCAGAGAAGTGGCCCCTCGCTCAGTCCCTGCCCGGCCGACCACTGTGGCCTGCACACGAATGGGTCAAAGCCAGATCCCGGAGCTGGTGCTGTCCTAGGTGGCCGCTCACCCCCGCCCCGCCAGCATCTCTCTCTGGACACAGCCAGACACTTATATCCCCTTCTCTGTATGCAAAGTAATCGCTCCTCTGTTCTGAACACCACTAGGCATGGCTCCCGTGCCACCTCTGTGCTCTGGGGCTCCACTTCCCAGGAAAGAATGCAGAAACTTCCACAGTGATGGCGTCCAGCCATGTGCTGCCGCCAACCTGAACCACCCCACACCGACACCCAGCTCCTACCACAAAGGCTCAGGATCCCACAGGCCTTTGGGACTGTCACGTTTTTGACTTTTCCTGCTCCTCCATCCACGACATGCCCTATGCTGTGGTGTGTCACATATGGCACCATATTCGAGGTCCTTTGCACATTCCTAAGGAGATACCTCCTGTCTGTGCTGGGGCCAAGGAGAACACCCCGGGTACCTGGGCTCATCAGAGGCCCAAGGAGATGGAAGGTGAAGCTGCATCACAGGACGGTGGAGACAGGAGCATCAGGGCCAGACCCTGGGATGAGGATGTGGGTGCGAGGGTTTGGTTAGGGAGGTGATCCCAGGAGTACCAGATGGAGAGGCAGTAAACAAGGAAGGCAAGGAAGCCAGTGAGGGGGTCACCAAGCAGGTCACCACTGCAGGCCACTGAGTGCAGTCCCACTGGTGACTCTGAGAGACGGAGTAGAACGCACCTTGAAGTGACGCCCGCCCTCGGGTGGCAGAGATGGGTTGTTTTATCCTGATACTCAGCAGACATTTTTGGAGGCTGCCCTTTGGAGAATGTTCATTCCTGCCCTTTGTGGAGGCGAAACGAGCTCCTCTGGCCAGAAAAAGTCTTCAGGCAGGGGAGTCACTGTGCTGGCGATGACACCATCGTGATAGTCCACAAGAGCCATCATTGGGTCCCCATGTATGGGCATGGTGAGGTCCCAGGTCTCTGCACAGCGCTCCAGCAGCTGCTGCCACACACAAGAAACAGGCATTGCCCAGAAGAGGGCGGAAAGGGGGTTGATACAACGTAAGGCTGTTCACAGCCACCATGGGGAGCATCCTCTGTCACACCGGCCAAGCCCCATGCACATACACACACTGGGGCCCCTCCCATCAAGTTCCTAGAGACACCCCTGGCACACACTCACATGTAGCATCCCCTCAGCTCTACCTCCTGTGGTTTTGTGGACATTTGCTCAGACAGCTTTGGTGCACACACACTAGTGCCCTTCTCACTTAGAGCTTGTGCATGTACACACTTGGCGTCGCACACTCCAGTGCCACTGACACCCCCACTCAACTGTTCCTATCCACTGATACTAGCGGTATCCTATCCGCTAATACCCACCTGCAGGTTCAAACAGGCTCTGGGTATTAGCAGTGGAGAGACAGTAAGTTTCATCGTCTGAGGAAGTGAATCTTCTGTCCTGGTCTCTGCTTTGCTTGACCCCACACTGCACCTCCTCGGGGCCAGACGAACTCTCTGGAGCCCAGGAATGGCTGCCTAGATCAGGCCGGACATCTCTGGACTTGGGGGCTGGGCAGATCTTTACCCCCAGGGTGGCAGCCCAGTTGTGCCAGCCCAACATGTCTCCAAGAAATCCAAGGTTGCAGGTCCTCAGGCCCTGCCGTCCCCACCTCAGCCATGCCACCACTGACCATCCCCACCAGCATGACTCCTGGGGGCCTGGGGCTGCCTGTCTCTCTTCCACCGCCAGTGGCTGCCTGGTCCACAGCCCACCACAAGGCTGGCACCACCTGAACTGTGTGGTGGAGTAGGAGGGCATCCCTTGAAAAGGACCCTTCACTCCCTGCCACTCTGAGCCTCATTATCCAACTGCAAGAGACAGAAACCCAACTGGAATCTTCATCAGCAAGGAAGAATACTTACTGAATTGTCCAAGTCAAGCATGGCTGGATCCAGAAAGTACAGGAATATGGGCAGGTATGTCATCTCTCTCTGGACGCTGCTGTCTACCACAGCGCCTTCATTCTCCCATCAGAATAAAAGTACGGAAGCCCCAGGTCTACTTTGGTTGGTTCATAATCCAAAACAAAGAGATCCTCTCTCCCCCAGAGAGCAAATACCAAGTCTCAGAGAAAACTGACTGGCCCAGACATGTCCTCATCCCTGACTCTCTGAATGGCTGTGGCTGGGATTAAGGTCTCTGTTGTTTGTTTGTTTGTTTGTTTTTGAGTCAAAGTCTCACCCCGTCTCCCACACTGGAGTGCAGTGGTACGATCTCGGCTCACTGCAACCTCCATCTCCCAGGTTCAAGCAATTCTCCTGCCTCAGCCTCCCGAGTAGCTGGGATTACGAGCACATGCTACTGAGCCCGACTAAATTTTTGTATTTTTAGTAGAGACAGGGTCTCACCATGTTGGCCAGGCTGGCCTTGAACTCCTAACCTCAGGTGATCTGCCTGCCTTGGCCTCCCAAAGTGCTGGGATTACAGGCATGAGCCACCACACCCAGCCGGGATTAGGGCCTCTGGCTGGCTCAGCCTGGGTCATGCCAAAGCAGTCCCTGCAGATCTCCCGTGCCTCCACCTCTCCTCCCTGCCTGCCACTCTGTAGAGGGTGAGGAGGAGGAGCCACATTTGTCTCTCCTGGAATGGGTTTTGCAAAGAAAAGAGGGGAGGAGGCTGGGAGAACTGGAGACACACAGATGAGCAGCCTCTGCCATGTTCCCTTGACAGGGCCAGGCCCTATCCCTCAGATCTCAGTCTGAGCGATGACCCCAAGCCACAGATAGACAAGGAG